GATCCTCTAAGTTCATCAGTTTAAGACCAGCCTGAGCTAGAGTGAGACCCCATCTCTAAAAATAGTTGAGCATTGTGGTGGATGCCTGTGGTCTCAGCTACTCAGGAGGCTGAGGCAAGAGAATCACTTGAGCCAAAGAGTTAAGAGTTTGCTGTGAGCTATGACACCAGGGCACTCTACCAGGGGTGACAAAGCGCGAGACTCTGTCTCAAAAAAACAAAAACTAAAAAAAAAAAAAGAAAATGTGAAAAATCATGAAACTATAAAAGTATATACACATTTTAAGACTACATTGCTGGTGATTACCAATAAGACAATTAGAAAATGCACTGATTAGGTGTCTGGTTATATTTCTACTACCACTGAAGCAATTATCCCTGTTCATTAAAGTTATGTTGTCATTATTACAGCTATTTGTGGGTTTTAATTAACAGTATTAGAGTCTATAAAACTACCACTGTGTGGTATACATTTTTAATAAAAGAGAATTAGTTATAACTTTTATATGAGGTGTTTGTTGTCAAATAAGAGGGTCTTTCTTGTTCTAAGGAATAATTATTTATCATAAAAGAACTATAAATGGAGATCTAATTCATTAATTGTCCTATGATTCTTCTCTGCTGAGAGTATTATCCTTATTTTGTCACATGTGTGAGTGAATTTTAAAGATAAGATGTCCTCCAAATGAATATTTCAGCAGAATTTTGTTACACTTTATTCTAATTCATTATCATTGTAATAATGACTGAAAATTATATTCCACACCTTCATAATCTCTTCATTAAATATATAAATTATTCTTTGAAACCAGGTGGGATGAAGTATTTGGGAAAATGTACATAGTGTTCACGATCTGCATAGGGGTCAATCATTGCTTTACCACATGCTGACAGTGCGATACCAGACAAGTTCCCTAACCTCTCTATGCCTCAATTTTTTGGTTGTAAAATAATGATGACAATAATATGTGGGGCTGCTCTGAAGACTAAATGAAATGATATATGTAACATACTAAAAAAGGAATATGGGCCATGGTGTGAATAGATTACATTATTGCTTTCAATTTTTCACCCCTTCTTTTGCCATGTGACTTTTCAATTCCTTTCACTAAGGGGATAATGTATATCTTCCTGCTATTTGATTTTGACTGATAGTATAAATGAAAAATGAGTGTCCTGGATCTTAGCCTAAGTCTTAAAGTCCCATATGTTACATTTACACACTTGTTCCTTTGCTAACCCCAAGAATAGAATATTACTTTGTTAATATCACTAATGAAACAGAGTCACTCCAGCCAATCCATGGATCTGCAGTGAAAGTAGGTCTGCTCTAGCTTCCCCAGCCTGAAAATGAAATAAACTGAACCTACTCCTGGATTAGCTAAAACCCAGGCAACCCATGACATGTGAGCCATAATAGTTTACTGTTTTAAGCCACTGAATTTTGGAGGTACTTTGTTGTATAGCAAAAATTGACTGATACAGCACATGATCAATAAAAATTAGCTATTATTTACTTTCATTTAAAATAGAGGCTCAATAAAAATAAATAAATAAAATCAATGTGATAATCAGCAAAGTATAGAACTGTTTTCTAAACCTGAGGTTGTTCATAAAGAAATAATGTCCCCCCCCAAAAAGAAATAATGTTTTGTCTACCCTTGTTTGTTTTCTGATACTGCTGTTGGCAGACGGCACCTTCTTCAAGAAAAGGAAATGCAAATTTGAGGGGTGGGGGGAGTTTTGTCTAATCTGCCACTTCTCCAAGGAAAATAGAATCCTATAATAAACAACCTTGTGATCACAGATGTAAAAATGTAATGGCGATGCTACAAATACATCACACATGCAAACTTCAAATACATATCTCCCTCCTACATATTCTTCCACAAATATTCTGCTGCATCGCTCAGAGTGAATTGCAAGCATTTCATCCAAAAGCCTCAGTGTGTGGCTCTCCCCAGTGAAGCCAAGGCAGAAATGCCCATTAGAGCTGTAGCAAAGGGTAGGGTCAGGAGACAGAGGTTTTTATGAGAAATTAAAGGGCAAAGGGAGTAGAAAAATGAAGCAGAGGTACTTAACTATCTACACTTCTAACAGCTCACAAATTTGAAGTTTTAAAAGCATATAAAAATAGATGCCCTTCAGCTGAATGCAGTGTACAAGCTGGGTTTCTCCTTTTTGGGTGCATTTTGCGTAGGTATTTAGCATGTAAGCTGGAGTAGTTTGTAGTTTCTGGTATAAAAGAAGATTGTATGATCAAACCTGGCTTAAAATACAAATAAAAGATGTTCTGTAATCCTGTACCACTATGACTAGATACTCTAAGAAATGTAGAACAATCTTGTCAAAGAGATGAAATAATAATAATAATGATAAATGCTTTAAAAGCTGTCCACCTTTAAGTTAAATTGTGAATTCCGGAGGGAAATTGCAGTTTGTTTCTATATATTGCTTTGCCCTTCAGCTCAGCTGTTGGCCCTGCATTAATATTCAGGCAGCATCAGTGCCAGTCCTGGTGATTCACTGAGGTATTATGAATATGCAAATGAGCAAGAGCTTTTTATGTCTATGGTTTGTCTTTCTTAGATGTTTGAAGAAATAATTGGAGCCAATCAGCTACTGATAACTTGCATATAGATGACTATTGCTCTGGAAGTTAAAATCATGTAATAATCCTTCTTATGCCAGCCCAAAGATTTCAATCAATCTCTTGAAAACAGTATTCTCAGTATCTCTTAAATTGACTGATTTAGAGGTTGAAGTGTCATAGTATTTTAACTTTCTGGATAATGGTAACAGCATTTTGGAGTGAGCATTATACAAAGAGTTGGGTTTGTGTCCATCAATTACTTTTAATTTATTCCCTGAGTATCTATCCATTTTCCTTAAGTATTTAAAAATCAGGGATACAGGAGTTGGTAGAGTATGTTAGGTAGATGAACTCTAGAGCTCCTGAATCATTAAGATAAAATAGACACTATGTATTCACCATGGATACTGAGAGCTCTAGGACAAGAGGGCCTTCAGATTGACACATGTTCCCTTATATGTCATGTCAACAGAACAGTGGTCCTGCAGGGTCTTGAACCAACAATTAAATGCTCAAGCCTTAAAGTGACATATGTCATCTGTGCCTACCAATTGATGACTAAAATAGTCACATGGCCATACCTGACATCAAGGGGTGAAGAAGAAATAGAATATTTCCTTGTGTCTGGAGGAAAAGGAGAAATGGAATATTTATGCACATTAAGAATTGAGCATTTAATTGTTGGTTCAAGACCCTGCAGGACCACTGTTCTGTTGACATGACAAATAAGGGAACGCATGTCAATCTGAAGGCCCTCTTGTCCTAGAGCTCTCACTATTCACAGCGAATAGATTAATTAATGAGGTTGAGGTGGATGGATTGCTTGAGACAGACCAGCCTGAGCAAGAGCAAGACTCTGTCTCTACTAAAAATAGAAAAACTAACCATGCATTATGGCAAGTGCCTGTAGTCTCAGTTATTTGGGAGGCTGAAGCAAGAGGATCGCTTGAGCCCAAGAGTTTGAGGTTTCTGTGAGCTATGATGCTATGACCGTCTACCCAGGACACAGTGAGATTCTGTTTCAAAACAAACAAACAGGCTCGACGCCTGTGGCTCAATCGGCTAAGGCACCAGCCACATACACCTAAGGTGGCGGGTTCAAATCCCCAGCCCGGGCCTGCCAAACAACAATGATGGCTGCAACCAAAAAATGGCTGGTGCTGTGGCAGGCACCTGTAGTCCCAGCTACCTGGGAGGCTGAGGCAGGAGACTCGCTTAAGCCCAGGAGTTGGAAGTTGCTGTGAGCTGTGAGGCCATAGCACTCTACCCAGGGGGATAGCTTGAGGCTCCATCTCAAAAAAAAAACAAAAAACAAAAAACCTTTCTGGAAAAATATATTGTGTGTGTCTGTACACGTGTGTATGTGTGATTATATGTTATTACTGCATGTCCTATGACTTACTAAGAGTATATTTTTATAATAACATACAGAATTATATATATGCATATATTCTATATTTGGAGATGGAATGATTTGGGAATAAACATACAAGTGCTCAGTAAGACAATTTATTACAAAGGGAACCTAAAACATCAATGGACCAAAACATATTTTCCAGAACCCCTCTTTGGAAGAATACTGAATACAATTACAAGGGGGTATATTGTTTTGGCAAGCCACTCAAAGGGAGACTGCTGTAAGGGATGAGTATGGTAATTTAGAACTGGTTTGTTTTTGACAAGTAAATTTGCCTTTTTTCTGACTTTCATTCTTAAGTCAATGACATTACAGTAGATCTATATAAGAAAATATAGTTACATAAAAAGCAAAAAATAGTGACTGTAAATGAGCTTCCTTTATCTCCATTTATCCCTTCTTATTTTCCATTTCATAGCAGCTGAATTCCTAATAATCATAGTAGCAAATTTTTATGATAATTGGAATTAACTTAAAATAATTCAACATAGATAGCAGGAATCTCCACTCAAGGGATAGTCAGATATTACTTTTTCAATTAAGGTTTATAGCTTCCATCCTTAATATCTGTGTCAAAGACTTGGTCTGGTTTTAAACTATCCTCTGCCAGCCTTTGGTGCAGAGAATTCTGGCTGCCTGATGCTGGCCATTAAGAATAATTGAATTCAAAAAAATAATAAAAATAAAAAATAATAAAAAAAGAATAACTGAACTCTACTTTAGAGATGTTGTTCAGTGTTTAGTTAATCTTTCTTATAAGTTGAGGGTCAAAGTTCAGACAAATCATGTTTGCCTCTGCTAGTAAAATTTTCTATTGTGACACAGCTTGTCTGGACATGACTTCATAAAAACCTGGTTACAGTATCCAAGGGAGGAGGGGGGATTTAGTCAGCTACTGTTATTCAAGAAGTAAACCAACAGAGAGTCTCAGCCTCGCAGCTGCCACCACCCACAGACTGCCCCGTCCATTTGTCTGCTGCCATCCACTCCAGACACAGAACATCTAGTCATGGATAGAATTGAGCTGGTGCAGAGAGCCAAACTGGCTGAGCAGGCTGAGCGATACGATGATATGGTAGCCTGCATGAAGACCGTAACTGAACAAGGAACTGAATTATCCAACGAGGAGAGGAATCTTCTCTCAGTTGCTTATAAGAACGTTGTAGGAGCCCGTAGGTCATCTTGGAGGGTCATCTCAAACATCGAGCAGAAGGCAGAAGGTAATGAGAAAAAGCAGCAGCTGGCTGAAGACTATCGAGAGACTATTGAGACTGAGCTAAGAGACATCTGCAACGAAGTACTATCTCTTCTAGAAAAGTATTTGATCCCAAGTGCGTCACAACCAGACAGCAAAGTCTTCTATTTGAAGATGAAAGGTGACTACTACCGTTACCTGGCTGAGATTGCTGCTGGTGATGACAAGACAGGAACTGTAGATCGATCCCAGCAAGCATACCAAGACGCTTTTGAAATCAGCAAAAGGGAGATGCCACCAACACATCCTATCAGATTGGGTCTGGCGCTTAACTTCTCTGTCTTCTATTACGAGATTCTGAACTCCCCAGAGAAAGCCTGCTCTCTCGCGAAGACAGCTTTTGATGAAGCCATTGCTGAACTTGATACCTTAAGCGAAGAATCATACAAAGACAGCACACTAATAATGCAATTGCTAAGAGACAACTTGACACTCTGGACATCGGATACCCAAGGAGATGAACCAGAAACAGGAGAAGGCGGGGAAAACTGATGGGCCCTCCAAAATTGGTCTGTAATTTGAAGACAAAAATTTCATTCTGAAATTTACACAATAGACCATTTTGTCATCCATACTGTCTCCAAATTGGTTTTCTTCTTTGTGATTTATGACTGGTTTGTGTTACTTCTAGCTGAATTTTAATTTTTCCCATGTGGTCTTTATGTTAATGCTAGATAAGTAGAGCCAGTTAACATTTAGGGTGTTATTGAGGTGGCTGATATGGGGATGTGGAATTTTTATAGAAGTTATAAATGTTTGGCATAGTATTTTGGTACATTGTGACTACACAAGGGCCAATGTTAAAACTGCTTCTCTATCTAAGCAAAGAAAACTGCCTCCATATTCGTTTATCCTGGTGGGGAATAAGAGGGATAATTTGGCTCCAGTCACCAGTGTAGTTATTGTGGGTACTTAGATTTTGTAGCTGGAGTTCAAAACCATCTTTAAAGTATCTGTGTGTCATAATGATTAGACTAGGAGGCTTTAGAGTTAGAAAGCCAGGGTATGTGATCCCATATAAGTTAGTTAGCCTCTCTGAGTCTAATGTTTCCTCATTTAAAACAATAATTATGTTATGAAGATTAAATGGGATAACATATATGAAATGGTTATGTCTGTCACATAGTAATCAATCAGTACACGGTAGCTATTATTTTATTATAGACAGAATCTTTATTTGGGGACTCAGAAGCTAGTATAAGAACATGGCATTTCATATAAACATCATCTGTTAAAAATATTAGAAATTAAAGAAGAGAGTATGTGGTAAGGACAAAAAGCATGGAAACGGGAGAAAAAAAATAGGAGCTAGTAGACATTTTTATTTTATTTTATTTTATGTTTTGAGATGGAATCTCACTATATCACCCTCGGTAGAGTGCTGTTAAATCACAGCTCACAGGAACCTCCAACTCTTGGGCTTAAGCGATTCTCTTGCCTCAGCCCCCCACGTAGCTGGGACTACAGGCGCCCGACACAACGCCCGGCTATTTTGTTGTTGTTGTTGTTGTCATTGTTGTCTGGCAGGCCCCAGCTGGGTTCAAACCTGCCATCTCTGGTGTATGTGGCTGGTGACCTAGCCACTGAGCTACAGGCGCCAAGCCCATTTTTTAATTTTTTTTAAAAAATACCTAACACCGCTAAATCAAACTTAGATTCTTGGCACGATATACTTGTAGGATTTCTGAAATAAAATAATTATCTGGCATTAGAATGTCTACTTTTAATCCTAATATCCATATTTTATTAAAAGTACAAATGCCAATTCTATACATATCAAAAAGACAAAGGTGTCCTCAAACTACGGCCGCGGGCCACTTGCGGGCAGCTGAGGACATTTATCCGGCCGCCAGGTGTTTTTGCCGCTGCTGCCTGCCCTGCTTAGCAGCCGACTCCTCCTGTCCCAGTCGGCCCTCCAACGGTCTGAGGGACAGTGAACTGGCCCTCTGTTTAAAAAGTTTGAGGACCCCTGACAAATATCAAAATAAAAACAAAATGATAAACTGTCACTTATAATAACACCATAAATAATTGTGTTAAATGCCAATATCTGGGGAGTTTGAATTATTTAATGCAGCCTAATATAATTCTTGTTATTGTGCTTTTTTTCCCAACCTATTCTCCATGTTGAACCGATGCACCATCTGTATAGTTGCAGAGTCTGTTTTTCTGCCACCAGCTGTAGCTTCTTCAAATTTCTCTCCCAAGATACAAGAACCTGCGTTGTTTTCAAAGTGTTCTCAGTTTTTATGGTGAGGTTTTTGCCATCACAAGTTATGATACAATCTGGTTTGGCCATTGCACCCACTTTTTTCCGCAGAACTAGCCCCACTCCTGATTCCTTCATGCAGTCATCAGAGCCTTTGCAGTCCAGCCGGAACCACGGTGGGCGCGTGCAGGTGGATGGGCTGGAGGGCGCGGGCAGGTGAGCGCGCGGGCGGAGAGGAGAACGCGCGGGCGGGTGGGTAAGTGAGCTCGCGGGTGGGCAGGTGGGTGAGCGCGCGGGTGGGTGAGCGCGCGGGCGGGCGGGTGGATGAGCGCGCCGGGGCGGATGGGTAGATGAGCGCACGGGGTGGGGTGGTGGATAGGTGGGCGCGGGGGCTAGCGGGCAGGTGAGCGCGCGGGCGGGCAGGTGAGCACGCGGGCGGGAGGGCTGGTGAGCGCGCAAGCGGGGCAAGCAGAAAAAGAGTCCTACATGGGACGCTTCACTTAACACTTTTAATTAAGTAACTTTATCCTGGGATAAAACTGTATAAAACTTGGTATTTCATTTCAATTGCTACAAGGAGAAAAATTATGAGTAAAGTTTAACTCAAAATTGGGGATTTTTTCCAAAGGGAAAAACACTTCATCCTTAATTATCTCACCAATCTCTCTCTTTGCTTCCAGTATTCCTCTCACCCTGAGAAAATAAATCATTTTTTTATGGTACAGAATAACAAACTAAATTTACAGTGTAAATAAATATTCATTTATTTTGGGTAAATGTCACTGTGATTTAATTTATTACTGTTTTGTGTTTATTATTTCATTTATAAAGGTAAACACACACAAACACAGAGCACAATGTCATGGTTTTTACATATTCTCGTTTCATCATAGTCTTTTTTTCTTATTTTTACTCCATGATTTTATCTTCCATAGCAGAAAAAATTTTAAAAGAGTATTTTTAAAACTGTATTGAGCCCCAGAATGTCCAGAGATCTGAAAGGAGGTTACTTAAATCTTATATATGAAATGATTCCTGAAAGAAGAGTAAGGATCCTCTAATACCATTCTAAAATTTTCATGCAGATTCATAATATGCAAATGTCTTTTCCCGTTCTGAAGTTTGTCTGTTTGCTTTGGTTGTTTCTTTAGCTGTACAATTTAACTCCTATTTGCCATGGAAGTCTTTCCTCATAAAATTTTTCCTCAGGTCTATATTTTTAAGTGTTTTCCCTACACTTTCTTCAAGTATTTTTATTCTTTCACTCTTTAGAGTTAAATCTTTCATCCATCTTGAATCAATTTTTGTAAGTGGTAAGAGGTGCGGGTCCAGTTTCAGTCTTTTACATGTGGTTATCCAGTTCTCCCAGCACCATTTATTGAATAGGGATTCTTTTCTTCAATGTATGTTCTTGTTTGGTTTATCAAAGATCAGGTGGCTTTAAGAGGGTAGTTTTATTTCATGGTTTTCTATTCAGTTCCATATTATGCATATTATTAATGGGACAAAAACTCGATAGCCAGGATCTACAGAGAACTCAAATTAATCAACAAAAAAAGACTCAACAATCCCATCTATCACTGGGCAAGAGACATGAACAGAACCTTTTCTAAAGCAGACAGATGCATGGCTAACAAACATGTGGAAAAAATGCTCATCATCCCTAATCATCAGAGAAATGGAAATCAAAACTACCCTAAGATATCTCCTAACCCCAGTGACAAAGGCCCACATCACAAAGTCGCAAAGCTGCAGATGCTGTCATGGATGTGGAAAGAAAGGAACACTTTTACACTTCTAGAGGGACTGCAAACTAATACAACCTTTTTTTTTTTTTTTTTTGACAGTGCCTCAAGCTGTCACCCTGGGTAGAGTACTATAGCATCATAGCTCACAGCAACCTCCAACTCCTAGGCTCAAGATATTCTCCTGCCTCTGCCTCCAAGGTAGCTGGGACTACAGGCACCCGCTACAATGTCCAGCTATTATTTTTTTTTCTTTTTTGGTTGCAGCCATCATTATTGTTTTGTGGGCCTGGGCTGGATTTGAACCTGCCCACTCAGGTATATGTGGCTGGTGCCTCAGCCGCTTGAGCCACAGGTGCCGAGCCTAATACAACCTTTTTGGAAGGAAGTATGAAGAATCCTCAAAGAACTCAAATTAAACCTATCGTTTGATCCTGCAATCCCATTACTAGGCATCTACCCAGAAGGAAAAAAAAATCCTTTTATCATAAGGACATTTGCACTATACTGTTTATCACAGTTCAATTTACAATCCTCAAAATCTAGAAACAGGGTCGGCGCCTGTGGCTCAAGCAGCTAAGGCGCCAGCCACATACACCTGAGCTGGGGGGTCGGAATTCAGCCTGGGCCCATCAAACAACAATGACAGCTGCAACCAAAAAATAGCCAGGCATTGTGACAGGCACCTATAGTCCCAGCTCCTTGGGAGGTGGAGGCAGGAGAATGGCTTGAGTCCAGGAGTTGGAGGTTGCCAGAGTTCTGATGCCACGGCACTGTACCCAGGGTGACAGCTTGAGGCTCTGTCTCAAAAAAAAAAAAAAAATCTGGAAACAGCCTAAATGCCCACCCAGGAATGGATTAACAAGCTGTGATATATGTATACCATGGAATACTATTCAGCCATTAAAAAATATGGAAACTTTACATCTTTTGTATTAACCTGGATGGAGGTGGAATGCATTCTTCTTAGTAAAGCGTAAGAATGGAGAAGCAAGAATCCAATGTACTCTATTGATGTACAATAGAGTAATCCAATGTAATCCAATGTACTCTAATATGAAGGCAGTAGATGAGATAATACAAGGGGGGTAGGGGAATGAGCAAATGGGGAGAGCAGATGAGAGGGGGGATCTTGGTGTATGGCACACCTCTTGGGGGTGGTACACAATTATAAGAGGAATTTTATCTAACAAATGCAATCAGCATGATCTAATTCTTTGTACCCTCAATAAATCCCAAACAATAAAAAAATTCCTCTATCAAGGAATAGAGGATCTATCAAGATATTATCTGAGATTATATTACTCTCTTCCCCCTACCTCCACTCTTTCACAGAGGTATCATTATCTTTAATTCAATGTAAGCATTGATATTTTTCATTTTATTATTTCCATATTGACATGTCCCTAAATAATAGAATATTATTTTGTATACGTTTATGTTTTATGTTGTATTTACCATATGTGTTAATCATCTTTAGATTGTTCTCAATCAGTTTTATCTCTTTAAACATTTTATATATACTTATTTTGTCATCT